CGTCGACATTATCGTTGGCCCAGGAGACTTTTTATGAAGTTTGTCATGTGGGCAGTCTACAATGCCTATGTTTTATTTCAAAATGTGGATCCAGAGAAGGCAAAGAAGTACACACTACGGAATTTTTTGAACGAATACTGCCTTGCTTTGGTTGGTGAGTACCGCACTGCCGCAGTACAAAGACCACGGGAAATCGAAGGACAGGAGCTGCCGCTTCGACTCCAGAATGTTGGCCTGCACTTTCCTGAGATTGGAGTGGATGATACAGGAAACCATCTGTGTGCAGTCTGTTCCTACAAACACCAAAAGTTTAGGAAAGAAAACCCAGCTGTTCCATATAAGGACTGCCCTGTGAAAGCTGTCAAATCAAATGTGAAATGTGGATATTGTAACCGACATCTCTGCATAAAAAAAGGATCAACCTGCTGGAAAGACTGGCATACCAAGTCAGAATATTGGCGTTAAAATACAGGTTAGTTTTTCCTTTATCATATATGTGTCTGTTTTTTCCCTTTTTTGACTGATTTTATTATGACAGCCTTCCTATGGTGCCATACCTAATTTTTTCTGAATCGGGCTCAGGAGCCCAGGCAGAGGGAAAAAGTTCACCCAGGGGGCTAGGGCTCAAAGGGTTAGGACTAGGCTAAAAAAATCGATCAATTGACTCAGACTGTTGCCAAGAAAGACAGCCAGTTGGCGCAAAGAGTTAATCACTCAGAACAGACTTAAGTAGTGGTTCAGGAAAACAACTACATCGACAACAACATTAGGACTGTCAGCCTGGCTTCCACGCAAATACTTACATAAATACATCTACAAACACTGACACACACGCAACAGACACCACCACAGAAAGATGTGACACTTTGCAAAGTGTCACAGAAGTGCAAATTTACAAGGTGACCCATGTACAGTTTCCAGCAAGTGTTCCCGCAGTAAAGTCATGAGATCACCGCGGACCTCTGGGATGTCGACCAAACGTTTGAGCTTCTGGTCCCTCCAGTTCCAGTCCAGCACAACGCCCACAAGACTCTCTATATGAAGAGCACCTGAAGGAAGAAGAGCACAAGAACTCTAAATAAATACTGGTTGAGACATGATTGGTTTATGTAAAGAGATGCAAATGGACATGACAAGTCATTTAGTGTATACAGAGGGATAGAAAAGAAGCAAGACCTACCGTTACTGAGGCAGTAAGGGGGAACCAGGCTACACCCTGGCAAGGCATTGAAAGGATAGATTTATTACAAAATATTGTTCAAGTGTAAATAGCACCATCCACACCTAGATAACTATGCTATACAAGTGTCTCAGCAGAAAAGAACGACAGAAAATGTGGGACCTTACGAGTTTTGGAAAGAACCCAAAGCAACTGAAAATACAGTAGTCTCCGCCTAAGATCCCAATATGGTCCCAGTTCGCCTAGGATCCCGCTGTTCAGGTCATAATATAGTTGGGTTTTTTCTTTATATAAGAAAAAAAATAGAATAAGAAACCTGGGTGCGCTCAGCTGATAAAAAAAGAATAAGAAACCAGGGCGAGCTCAGCTGTTCAACCACGTAGCGAAAATGTGCGATCATTGTACGGTCCGTCGCGTCACGGATCATCCACTCATGAATGCGATCACACCTCTGTTGGAAATCTGGATAAGCGGTTACAATGTTTCCCCCAGACGGGATGCACCAAGGTGTGAACTCGTCGATGCCTTGCTTTACCCGATCATCTGAGCCATCCGCCTGATCTTACATCACACACTAGGTGGGGGGGGGCCTACAAGCAAGCATCAGACTGCATTCTATCAAACTCTAAACTCGTGGACGCTTACGTTTTCTCGACCATTGCTCTCGTTTTTTAGTTTTGCGCTGTAACTTCCTAGATGGATTGGAACCAATACTCAAGGACTGTTCGATCGCCTTTGCGTAATGTGATCATCTGTTGGCAGTGAACCTGCCTTTCATTTGTTTTTAATTTGGTCGGTTTGGTCACAACACAACGATTTATGATGCATCATGACATTGGCCGGGAACTCCTTTAGAGATGGAAAGCAATACATTTTTGGTGGGGGGAATGGCTTGAAGCCAACTGGTTCCCACCTGACAATGAACGGGCTCGGAATAGTCACGCGGGAATTTGTAGGTCAGATACATTTGCCGAGGGAGTGAGGGGAAAATGGCCGGCCTCCCTGCGAAGCCGCTTTGGACAAACGGGTAGCCGAACATTTATGATCTGGTCTAAACAACTGCTTGACACAGAACGTTCAAATTTGCGGACACTAAGAGGAAAGATAGATCTCTTACCATCTCCAGGGTCCCCACCAAATCCTGCAAAATTTTTTCAAGACCCCAATTCGAGGGAAAAATCAGGCCGCTGCGCATCAAGAATGATCCCCAAAAAAGCCAATCTATCAATGATAAAAAGTCAAAATGTCTATAAATGAATGCAAATGACATTTTGTAGTATAGTCTTCAAACAATAGATGACTATAATACTGGGTGACTGCCAACCCATCTTCCCAATTTTCCAAGGGAGGGGCCTTATCCATTTTCCAGGAACACGTTACATAACAATGAAAGCGTGTGCTCCATTTATATCTGATATAATACATGTATATGTTTGTGAATACACACACACACACATGTAGATACATTATATCCAGTCAACAACATGTCAGTGTGGCACTGGGATCTTGAGAGACTTTGGTATTTCAGTCTGTTCTTACTTATTTATATTTTCCCCTCATCATATTAGCCAACATAACAAACTATAGGCCCTATATAAAAAATGAATCCTGTTTTGAGCCTGAGAAAAGACCTAGAACTAGAATATCGACTGTCAATAACCAATCTGGGTGTCGTGATTCATATAATAAACGTGAAGACGAAAACCATTGCTGCAACTCAAAGAAGAGTAATATTAGTAATAACTAGAATGGCTCAAGTACACCTATTCAGAGTGAGGTGTAAGAACAGGGGGGCGCAAGATGCAGTGACACTGAAAATCTGCCAATCTTGAACAGAAAGCTAAAATATAGATATAAATTACAATCACCCCATCCAATGAAATGCGAACACTTTAGTTCAATAACAAGGCATGACGGATCCCGATTCCACACAAGGCCTGCACCAACGCGCGCTTTGCAGAGAGCTCTAAAGTAGTTATCAAAATGCTAAAAATTTGCTTCCAAGTTCAGTTTTTGTCCTCTAGCGCTGCCTTCAGCTCTCATCCCCCCCCCTCCCCAATCCCCTTCCACGAGTGAACCTTATAGAGGACTACTTCACAGCACTCAGACCGCCGGTGCTCACAGAGGTTCATTGACCGGTCACGAGGGCGAACCTGTCAAGGCGCTTGTATAAGTTCTTTTTCTTTTTTTTCCCAGAAAGCGACAGCAGAGGGCAATTTTTAATATTGATTTATTTTCAAGGCGACACAGCGTTCATAATGCATAACCTGCATGTTACAAATGTTGCATTATCTATCAGTAGTATCAGACTATTACCGGAAAATTTCTGGGCGGTAACGAAAGCAGATCTTGATTCTTCCTGATCGAGCCTCGGTGTCACACATACACTTCCGCCACAGCGGTTCAATTATGTTTCCTCTTCAGGATTCATCACCCATACAGTCTAGATAGCTACACATTACACAGGCCCTATCCTTTCCCGACTTACCGACCCATCACAAAATTCCCAACTTTTTCCCGACCCATCTCAAAATTCCATACTTTTTCCCGATTTCCCGACCTGGTGGGGACCCTGCATCTCGACGTTGAAATTCAAGCTCCTTACATTTTCAGTATACCCGATGTGAAAGTGTTCCAACACCAAAAGTATAGGTTAATTTATGTGTACAAACTTCAACATCCGCATATCATTAGTTTGCCCTATTTTCTGATTGGTAGCCAAGTTTCATTCACATTGGTCCAGAAATAGAGCAGACCGAGGTTGAGAAAGTTAGTCACTTACGTTCAGACCCGGTCCCAAATTTCTCCTGAAAACGGGGACCAAATTTTTGCAGCGCGCGGAAGCCTGATTGGCATTGCTATATAATGTTACAATTATGCAGAATTTCACATGTTATTTGGGGAACAAATAATGTACTCTTGTGAGCAAATGACTTGTTAAAAATAAATTTTTTAAAAAGCAAACCAAACCAAACATAATACATACCTTGTTTGATGAGGACAGAGATTCGACCAGGAGTGCCTATTCCCACTTGGCAATTTGTCTTGCTTAAAAACTTTTTTTGGTCTTCAACCTGTACACAAGAAGTCCAAGATTTAGGAAAATAAAACTATGATGACATATCATCAGTAAAAAATAACACATTGGAATTTAGTATAACTGACCATCAAAATTAATCTGAATCACAAAGGATTGTTACTTAGAATGTGAATAAAATATGAAGCAAAAGAAATTCTTAACTGATTCCCTCCCGCGAGCCGCTGGCAGCGGCTCGCGCGTTTCGTTGTTTGGACCGCGAGCCGCTGGGAGCGTCACGGTACTAAAGAGGAATTTACTAATACGAAACTAAATTTTGTACTGGTTTCTGACTCCGTATCCTTTCAGCGTCACTTTCAAAGTGAAACTCGAGCGAAGTGGTCGATTTTATGTGCTTTGGGAAAGTTTTTCTGACTAGTATTGCGTTTCGTGTTTTCATCCCAGGACCAAATCATGGCGGAAGGACCATCCTCATCTTCATCATCATCATCAAGTAAGCGTTTGAGTGCCACAAAAGCACTTGATTTGTTGCAAACTTTTTGTAACGATGAATCTGAGGATGATTACGTGTATGAGTCGAGCGCTAGTACTAGTGATGACGACTTTGGTCCACCAAGTAGTGACAGTGACAATGAAGGCGAAGTCAGTGAAAGAGGTGTGTCCTCAAGGGCTAGCGATGGTGCCAGTACTAGTACCAGTGTAGACACAAATGAGGAGAGTACTGTGAGGCAAGGCCCGTCGAGAAAAAGACCCAGACTCGATACTACATCTGGGTCTAGGGCTAGATCTAGCTCTGCTCAGACTCAGTTACCAGCATGGGCGAAGATCAGTGAAGGTGAGCCGGTGAGTTTCAAGAATTTTAGGTTCACCCCTCCTAATGGTTCGTCTGGAGTGAGGGAAGAGGCTGGCCTTAGCGAATCGTCAACCCCTCTTGACTGCTTCACAGCGTTGTTTACTGAGACCATACAAAATAAACTCCTATCATCCATCAACGAGTATGCATTGACAAAAGTTCAGCAGAACACACCGGCGAGAAAGCATTCTGTTTATGCAAACTGGGAGGATATTTCGCGGTATGAACTGTTGAAATTTTTAGCTGTCACTACGCAGATGGGACTAAATAGGAGACCAGCTATTCGTGACTACTGGTCACAGGCCGAGACAGAGCACTGCGCCTGGTACTCGCAAATGTTTCCCCGCAAGCGGTTTGAGGCAATTTACCATACCATGCTTCACTGCTCGGAGAACTCATCTGCTGAGGGAAAAGACAAAATTGAGCCCTTTGTGAACTCTGTTCTTGAGAGCTTCCGCAGGGCATTCTACCCAGGAAAATACCTTGCTCTGGACGAGATGGTTGTCGGGTGGACTGGACGATGGAAGTACAAGCAGTACAACCCGTCGAAACCACATAAATACCATGTGAAGGTATTTGGACTGGTTGACAGCGAGACGGGATACGTTGTCAACCTGCTCATTTATTTTGGGCGGGAGACATCATACCGTGTGGACTTAGACCATTCTAATCCGCAGGCGGTAAAAGTGTTCGAGACCCTACTGGATCCCTTAGGTCCAGGCCACCACGTTTACAGTGATAGGTTCTACACGTCCCTGGATCTGATCCGGCACCTGTCAAACAACCGGACCAATTTCACCGGCACCTTGAACCTGAATCGTCGCGGCTTTCCGACAGACCTCAAGACCCTTCGTCTCCAACACACGGAGAGGTCTTGGTACTATGCACCAGAAGATGAAGTCCTCTGTGTGGCATGGAAGGACAAGAAGGCGAAAAAACCTGTGGTGGTGGTGTCAACCATGTGCGACACGACAGTGGAGGAGCGCCCGACCAGCCGCGGTCGCAACGCCTCCAAGCCAGCGCCCGTTCACAGCTACAACGCCAGGATGAATGGCTGTGATAAAGTAGACCAAAATGTTGGGTACTACAACCTGCACACCAGGAAAAGTCTAAAGTGGTGGAAGAAAATCTTCCACTGGCTCATGGAGCTGGTGCAAGTAAATGCGCTTGTCCTATACAACCAAACGCACGCGAAGAAGTCAACGCTGGCTGCCTTCAAGAGGGTGCTCGTCAAGGAATTGGTAGCACTGGCAGCCGCCCACATGCCACAGGGGGAAGTCGACAAAGCTCCATCTAATATGCCTCCCACCAACAGCCTCATCGACCGCTACACGGGAACAAAGCACCTCATCGCCTACTCCCAAAAGGATCGCAACTGCGAGGTGTGCAGCAAGCCCAAAGAAGGTCGAAAGAGGACCAACTTCTTTTGCAAAGGCTGTGCACATCACCCTCATCTGCATCCTAAGGGCTGCTTCGAGCTGTACCACACACCTGAGTCGCAGAGGCGGGTGTGAGGTGTACAGTTTCATCGTCCTTGGAGCGTGTTCGTGTAAATAGTGTAAATAGTCAATATTGTGGAATTCAGGTGCCTCCATTTGTGGTTCCAGTAATTTTTTTCTATTGTGCTTGGTTCAAGCAAGGTGTTTCTAAGTGATTCATAATTGGATTACCTTTGAGATGTCAAGAGTTGGAGACTCAAATTGGAGTTTGCTGTCTGTCACATATGAGGTAAGATGAATTTTGTGCGTAAAATTTATTTTGTTCTTTTCACTAAATCACACTTCCAGTTGCTTTATCAGTTTTCAGTTTGAAAACAAATTTATGAAAATCTAACAGTTGTATTCTGTATTCATTTGTGAGCATTTTGATGTATAACATGTTATGGTTTTTACTAACATTGATCAATTTTACAAGTGATTACTGACATCACCCTTCCATAATCAGGTAGTGTGAAATGGGGGCGTGGTCCAAACAGGAAAACAGGTGGGGAGTGAATCAGTTAAATCTGATGGTGGCATCCAGTACAATTTCAAGTCTAATTTAAAAAATTCATTGTTCTTGCTTATTTCATACCGTACCTTCTTTCAAGATTAGCACATCCATTACATTGCACAATATCAGACAAAATAGACATTTTTGAAAATTAAATCTTTAACACTATCAGGTAACAAATTCCTACTAAACACTCCAATATGCTGGGAGTCTAATTTTTTCAAGGTTTATCTTGAATCAAACCTACTCAAGTACAAAGATCATTTAGCATCAGACCCTGAAATTCAAAGCAAGAGATAAAAGATTAACAAACAAGCTCCCTCTTGAACACATACAATACAACTTAAGCTTTATGGTCAATTTCTGAGAGCACAAGTGCTACACCAACCTTCATGTGTTTTGCGAATAGTTTGGCCACTTTACACTTGCCATCAAGGAAGTCTTTTATCTGTCTGTAAAAGGGAAATATGTATAAAATTAATATAAAATAGTCAAAGAAAAGCAAATGCAATACAAATAGCACTCTTCACACAGATTACTGCCAACAGGCATCCCCGGAAACATGCTTCCAAAAGCATAGACAAAGAGGAAAAGGTTGAAAAGGTACTACTGTATTTCTACTAAAAAATTATGCGATAACTCATAACATCTATCTAAGCATCTGAAAAAAGCACAACGGAACCAATACCTTTACTTACATGAGAAAATTTGCAATAACAATTTTACAAGTATATGAAACTATGATTCACATTACCATTATCTTCTTTCAAATCAAATGAAGTCATTCTCAAAGTTCCTGACCTTCCAAAGATGTGGAAAAAAAGATGTAAAAAACAGACCTGTTTAACTCAACTGCTCGGATGGCTGAGCTCGTGATAATCAGCAAACAAGGGCTTCCCAACTTTTTCATGTACAAGCTTTTCTTTAATGCAGATCTCCACACAGGATGTAATATCAACTTCAAATAGGCAGAAGGACTCAAGCAGTCAGAGTTGTTCGTGAAGAAATCGTTTTCTGCCAAAAAAAAAGACAAATAGAAAGTAAGTTCAAAACATGAACTACATGTACTTCAGAAAGATTTGAGAATTAGCAATGGTTTCATTATTACTGTATGCTCTTCATATTTTATATCACCACCGCTGCAAGCAATCCAGAGAAGCCAAAAATTTCAGACTTTTCTATTTTTACACCCTCCCAAAGCTTTACCGAAGATACACCATTCAACGGTCCTATGTACAGGTAATTGTATTAGATAGTTGGCTTTTAGAGCCAGTTAGACTGTATTACAATTCACAGCATTCATCAAATGGCCAAATGGTTAAGAGATGATACCACAGTGAAACTGAAATTCAAATAAAAAGTGCAATTAAAAACCCCCCACAATCTAGAAACTTAAAGATGAAAATAATTGAGAGTCCACTGAAAAAAACGGGCATAGTCACAAACTGAAAATCGCGAGGGTACCAATTTTGAACGCTTTTTGGCTCATAACTGTATTTCTGTTCAACTGTTAGTTGATTATAGTTGTTAGATTTACCATCCAACAAACACACATAAAATAAACCACCAATCAAACAAATATGAAGTTATGAGTCCACAAGCTTTTAAAACTGACACCTTCACAATTTCCAGTTTATGACTATACCCGTTTTTCCAGTTGAGTCTTCAATTCTTACAAAGCCAGTCAGATCAATTTGTTAAAAACAGAGTAAGCATGCAGGTGGTGGACCACAAGGCAAAAGAAGAGATAAAAGTAAAGTTCGATCCTCCATACACAAAATAAGTTAAAAGCGTCTTTCATACAAGATGGCACAACAACCCAAATTTGGCCAACTGTCAGAGAGAACTACGGATGTGCATAGTTGGTCACATAACTTCCAAATGGAGGGCTCAAATTTACTTTTACCACAGGAGCTTACCCGCATCAGGAAGAAGGTCCTCCAAAGCAGCTTGCCCTAGACGTTCTTTCAAGGCTTGCGTCATGACACTGTGAACATCCTCTGCTGTTCCTGGCTTTGTCAGCTCTTCTTCGGGAACATCGGTGATGCGCTTCTGAAATGGGGAAACAATGATAGATTAGATATACGGTCAAAATTGTCTAAGATGGCTACTCTTGCTGAGGCGAAAAGAGGTTGCCTTAGACTGCAGACATTTTAGTGTGTAATGATAATTATTACATTAAAAAAATTTTTTTTTTTTTTTAACCACAAGGGGAGAAGTGGGAAGTGGTCGTTTGTACAGGTGATTGTTTTAGGTGACTGTATAATGTTAGAACAGGTCAGACTATATTTGCTGAAAATACTTTTATCCTCATTTTATTGATATAGTGGGTGAAATCTGAAATGATGTAATATCAATCTTTCCAAAAAATTCATGAGAATGCATTGCTTTCTGCACACACATGTCATCATACTCAAAAAGCTCACAATTATTTATCATTTCAGGGAAATCATATTGCTACACATACAGCCTACTTATTGAAATTGCACAAAAATATCAAATACACTGGTCTAAGACATCCAAAACTTCCATCTATTTCGTAACCAACTATGATACACAGCAGCTGGAATTGGCCTCCATGGATTGGGCCCCCCTTTCTCGGGGGGGGGGGGGGGGGGGGGGGGCTAAAAAGATTATTGTGCAATTGATAAAAACAAACTGTGAAAATAGATGATTGTACCAATGTAACCTATTACTGCAGTCTTCCCCATTTATGCTATTAAATAGCACTCTGTGAGCCACTCAGGATTTGATGGAAGTAACTGATGTAGTCTTGGTATACCCCAAACAGCATTGACCATATATTTCAATAAGACTGACAACACACCATATGAATAAAATATTTTTATGCAGTTGAGATTAATAAAAGCAGAGATCCTTGCACTTCAACATTTGAAACTGTTTGCCAAATCAGAGATTACTTATTTATAGCAATACATTTAACTTGAAAAGTTTCTGACTCACCCTTTCTTTTTTGCTGTCAGAAGCAACCTTCTCTTTCTTCTTTTTCCCTGCAGACACTTTCCTCTTCTTCTGTTTCTTCTCTCCATCTTCTCTATCGTCTCTTTGCCTCTTCTGAGCCTTTTGCTCACTTTTCTTCACATCTGCTGTAGAGACATCATCAGCAGTTTTTTCTGGACTCGTGCTATCTTTTGAGGGCTCCTCTGCAAATAATTTAAAAAACAACTAAATGAGACTAATTAAAACTTTTAACTCTTTCCACAGGGGATTCCAGATTGCAGAGAAGCAAGAGAATTCACAGAAAAAATAGCAATGACAATGAAAAATTAAATTTTCCCCCAAATTGCTTTAAAACTACTTGAACCCCTTCACTGTCCCGCTGACTCTTTCCACAGGGGTATTCCAGATTGCAGAGAAGCAAGAGAATTCACAGAAAAAATAGCAATGACAATAAAAAATTTAATTTTCCCCCAAATTGCTTTAAAACTACTTGAACCCCTTCACTGTCCCACTGATTCAGCGGGCCAAGAAGTGTTTCCCTGTGCCATGTGCCTGCTGATTCGGCGGGCCTATGATGAAGTCATTTTTAGTGTAATTTTCCACTGTTTAAAGGGACAAAACAGTGTCACCACTAATCCTCATTAATATTACATTAGTCTCCCATGAATCCGAGCGTCATTTTCATTGTTTTGAAGAGGTGAAGCGTTGACGTTCGGAGTTGTGTGGTTTTTTTTTGGGGGGGGGGGGGTTTTGCTTTCCGCAATGGCATCAAACAGACCAGTCTATCAACCTTCCTCTTAGGCTGCAGAAGTTCTAGATGAAATTATGAAAGACTGTGTAACAGTGATGATAATGGTTTCCATTGAGTTTCTGAGTTAGGGGCTCTATGTGACGCTTGTAGTAATGGGGTTAAAAAAATTAAAGAAAAGTAAAATTTAAGAACTGTGGATTTTAACTTTAAAAAATCCATTGATAAATTGAAACTGAAAAGTTATATCGGGATTTTTTGTTCCAATATTTTTGGGAACATATGGTCGCTTTTAAGGAGAAGCGGGCTAACTCGGATTTCGGAGCTTTCCAGAAATCTTGACCTACACCAAAAGTGGACATTGCTTTATCAACAGGAGAAGTTTGGTTTCATTGGTGGTTACATTTGTTTGGTTATAGAGAAAACTCTCCTTGTCTTTTAAAGAAACTGAACAAGGGGCAAAAACTTTACCTTCGATTTTCTCAAAACAGCATTTTTCGGGATAGCCCTCATGGGCTTAAAAGCGACCATATAAGAAAATATCACCAAAAAGTGGGACAATTCTTGATTGATATATGTATTTTGAGGGAAAACTTCATAATTCAGTAATGAGTTGGAGTATATGAATGAAACTTGAACCCTCTGTGTGGCTTTTAGTGCAGAAAATCTAGTTCTGCTATCACGTTGTCAATGTCATAAAAACTTTGGATCTTTAAGGCTAATATAGGCGTGAAAGCTTGTTAAATTTCGCAACATAGCTTACACTGCTACCAGTAGAGGGCACAGGTTTGCGTAGCATTACAAAACTTTATAAATTTTCAACATACCTATGCTTAAAAACTTCTTTGATCTAATTTTGAACATACTGTGCAGAAATTGCTTGAATTTAGAGAACGAAATAACTTTGTCTTAAAAGAATCAGCGCTGTTCTCAGATCATCCCCACTAAATTTTAACAAACCTACAAAGGATTCCTATGTGACCTACTTGGTTTAAGTCAACCAAACACATGCCCTAGTGATGATGCACACTTTGCATGCCAGCAGGTGAGCTTGTTCAGTTTGTGACCCAGTTTCCGGCTCTTGTCTTTTATCGCTGGACGGGAGGTAATTTTAAGTTGGTACGTAAAATTAAAATGTACTACACACAAGGATCTGAAATTTTACACCAATAAAGAGGACACGTGGAACACCTGGTCGATGATTAATCCGCAGCTCCTCTTAGTTGGCGTTGTATGCTTGCATCATGTAGTAGTAAGTTTGGCCTTGCCTTATTAGTTGCCAGGTTTCATTCATTCACTTTTGTCAACGGGGTTTCCCATAACTATAAGAGCTACCAATGATCCTGAACAGGCCACAAATTACCCCGCAGGCGATGAGCATTGCTAGAAAAAGCCATTTGTCTGCCAATTTTTCAAGTAAATGAGCACCTCAAAATGTTTGGAAATGGAGAAAACACCTGCAGAATCTAACAGGGTTAGAAGCATTTTCAAGTATGTTGAACAAGTATTGCAGAAGGTGATTATAGAAGAAAAGGGCAGGAAACTAATACCAAAAATGTTCTAACAAATCCAACTTGTAATGCCTCTTTTATACAAACAACTCATATACACACAATGTATACCCGATAATACCCCTGGCGAGAATAGCCCATGACCCACTATTCTCACCC